GGCATCGGTTACAAATATTTGAATATTTTAATTTTTTGAGACAGGGTCTCATGTAGCCTTGCCTAGCTTCCATTCTAGCCAAAGACGATTTTATTTATTTTTATTATTGTGTGTGCATGCAAATGCATTTGTGCCATAGTACGTGCACAGAGGGCAGCAGACAACTTTTGGAAGTCAATTTTCTCTTTCTACAGCAAGGCTTCCGAGGATCAAACTCAGATCACCAGTGGTGCTCTTGCCCACTGAGCCATCTCAATGGCCCTAGCCAAGATTGATCTTGGGCTTTTGATCCTCCACCTACCAAGTACTAGGATTACAGGACTGTGCCAGTGTGACTGGTTCATGTTGTGCTAGAAATCAAACCTGGGGATTGGTGTATGCTAGGCAAAGCTGAGATACATATCTGACATTTTAATTTAGTAAAAAATCTGAGCACTTGGGAATGGAGAGATGGCTCAGTCATTAAGATCACTGGTTGCTCTTGCAGGGGACCCACAAGGCAGTTTAATACCAGTTCCAGGGGACCTGATGCCCTCTTTTGGTCTCTGGGGGCACTGCACACATGTGGTACACTTACATATATGCAGGTAAAATGGTCATACATATAAATAATTTAAAAAATATGAGCACTATTTCTAGGTACATAGCATCAAGAATCCACTTATCTCTGTAACCCTGGTGACAAAGCTCTGTACATAATTCCACTTGAGTCCTCAACCAAGTGAAAAAGCCACTGTTTAATATACAACACAGGATGAAAAGTCACACAGCAGTAGCAAAACTGAAAGAGCATGTGGCAATTCTCACCTCCAGCTTAAATAGACTAACAATTTGATGAGAGAATGAGATATACAAGAAGTTCTTAAGACTTTTGCACAGAAAAAGATTTAAAAGAAACGACAGGAGAATCTACTCGGGAATATTTTTCACTTATCTCCTGTCACTCTCCCATTCTAGGAAGTTCAGGGGAGGTTTCCCTACCAGATGAGCACATGGCAAAAAGAAAACAGGGCTGTTCAAGTTGACCGGCAAGAGCAGACACAAAAATGGAACTGCAAATGGAATTCATCAGGGCCATAATTTGAACTGGCTTTAAAGCTAAAACTAATACAACTTTTTGTGTATGTGCATGTATATGGGGTATGTGTGTCTCATATGTATGGGTGCACGTATATGTACAGGAAATGTGGATGAGTATGTGTGCAAACCCAAAGTTGACATCAGTTTTCTTCCCCCACTCTCTATTTAAGGTGGCAACTATTGCTGAACACCAGAGCTTGCTAATTCTGATTAGTGTATGTCCTTTCAGCCTACCAAGAGCTGGGATTACAGGTGCCATCACATCTGCCCTGCTTTTTACACAGGTTCTGGGGATCAGAATTGCCTCTGGGTCTCGTGCTTTTGGTAAGTTTTTTATCCACTGAGCCATCTCTCCAGTCCTTAAAACATTTTTTGTCACTTACAGTCCTTAACAATAACAATCATCTTTATCAGTGTTTAGACTGCTTTACAAACACTGCAAGCAGCCAGACAACTGTCAGAAGTCCCAAGGGCGATATTTCCCAGCAGAGCCATGATGCTCAAACTCCCTGAAGTCTCATTTAATAATTACAGTACTAAACATCCAAGATAGCTTTTTGCTGTGAATCTCCTCATTAAAAACCATTATTAGGCTGGCAAGATGGCACGGCAGGTTAAGGCACTTGCCCGCAAGCCTGAATTTGATACCCAGGACCCACATGAGTGAAGGAGAAAACCGACCCCCACAATTGTCCTCTGACCTCCACACACATGCCATGTACACACACGCATAATAAATAAATAATAAATAAATATTTTTAAACATTAAAAAAGTTTTTAAATAATCAAGGGGGTAGGGGACAGCTCAGGTGTAGAGCATGTGCCTACCATATATGAAGCCTTGGGTTCCAACTCCAAAACACAAAAAATTTGAAAAATAAAAACCATCATCAATCAGCATCTGGCCTACTTTGTCTTTTCTTTCATCCAGAAAATGATTCTACTTGAAAAGAAAGCAAGCATAGAAAATACATGCATGCATGTCTCTATCCTTAATGGTCAAAGCTACTTTAACAAATTTAAAGAAAGGTGGATACCAAAGCCAAGGACTCAATAACCTGAGATGTCAAATCTTCTGGCAATAAGCCTTACAAATAAAATGGCAGATAAGCCTTATTCAACAGTACCTCCATATACTATTAATGTACTCCCTGTCATCTTCCTGCCCCCAACCCCAGCCACCTACCTGTCCACTGTCTTCCTGTACCATCCTCACTAGTCAGCAGGGGAGATGGTTCATTTGATAAAGTGTTTCTCATGCAAGCATGATGACCCGAGTTCGATCCCCAGCACCCATATAAAAAGCCAGGCTTGGTGACAGCTTGTAATCCCACCACTGAGGAGGTAGAAACTGGAGAATCCCTGGATCTGGCTGACTAATCAGAAAGCCCAGGTCCCAGTGAGACCCTATCTTAAAAACAAGGTGGATGACTCTTGAGGAAGGACACCAGAGGCTGACCTCTGTGCATATACACCTGCACCTACACCCTCACACAGCACACGAGTACATACATATGGGAAGTGGTCACACAGACACACAGACACACACACACACACACACACACACACACACACACACACACACAAAGAAAACACTAGTTTTCCATCAAGCAAGAAAACACCTGGCTTTCCCCTTGCTGAAAACATAATTTAGGAATTAGGTTTGTCCCTGAAGATATCTATAAAATATACACACCACTCAACTTGGACACACAGATAAAAACCACTTCCATCGTTGGCTGATTTTTCTACATTTATTTGTTTTGCTATCTCCAAAACTTTAAAGGCTACTTAAGATCAAAGGCTGGGTCTTGTTCCTCAGCCTGTGTATCTGATCCATTCCTCTCCCTTGGGTTCTCATCTAATATTGAGACTCACGGAAAATATAATCTGAAAGGATTTCAGAGATGAATTAATCTGAGGTTCACATTTAGAAAACTGCTGTAGTATATGCCATACTACCTCTAATGAGCCCAATCTTGTCTGATCTCCAAAGCTAAGCAGGGTCTGGCCTGGTTAGCACTTGGATGGGAGAAAATTGCTGTGGTCCTCAAATGGTGTATGTAAATATGCATACATATATATATTATATACATACATATATACATTCACTAAAAAACATGCAATGAAATCTACAATTCTCTCACATATACTTTTATTACTTATACATTTATTATTAGTATCTTTATTATTTTCTTTTGTTATTATTATTTTTTTAATCAGGATTTTATCATGTAGCCCTGGCTGGCCTAGAATTTGCAGTCATCCTTCCACTCCTGTTTCCCATGTGCTGGGACTATAGGCATACACTACCATGCCCTGTTTTGATTTTATTTGGCCCTTATTAAGAGCTTTTTTTGCTGTGTTTTTCTTCCTGCTTAATATTACATTGAATTCCAAAGGCCAGGAAGCAAAATTTTAGCCTCCTGTACTCTCTAACCTTATGACAGGTGTCTAATACAGTGCTTAGCATCTCTTGTGAGCCATAAACTATGTGAACGAAGCTTCCATTATTAGTATATTACCGATAAATATATTGTACTTTAGTTCCCCCCTCCAAGAACCCTAAAATGCTATTTTTCCTAAGTTGTGCCTTCTCAAAACAATTCTCTAACTCCCTCTCCCTCCTCTTGTATGTACATAATCTTCTCTTTAAGACCTGAAGAAGCTACTGCAACTCCCAAGTTTCTGGAATCAAGTTAGCATCTTTACCAGGAGTCCAGCAAATTGTCACAGATGGAGAGAGAACTTTGGGGAGTTTTCTTAAGATCTGTGGAAACAAATCTTTCAAAGAAGTTACTTGTCTATAAGCAATTCTGGCAGAAAGTAAACCAGCAACTTGCTGGTGAGTTCTCAGTGAAGTTAAATATTGCACCTCATTCTGTTTCAGGCAAGCAAACAGTGACTAATCAGGTTAACTTGATCTGGGTACTGGGTGTAGACACCCTTCAACAAGAAACAGGTTCCATCAGAACAGGTAAGAAAAGGCTATATATAAGGGAATACAAGTTTTGCTTTTGGAAAACATACTTTAATCGAAAAATATTTGCTGCACAAAGTGACTTTCTTTCCTTGGCACGGGGCAGCATAGAATTAGCCGATTGGGAGGCAGACATAAGATCCCAGACTCCTGAAGAGGATACACACTTCGACTAAAGTATGGTTGGTTCCTTGAAGGAACAGTTTTCCGTAGCTAACAGAGTATAACACACAATCACCATCTTGAATCAATTACACAAATACCATTTAAGCCATTCTGGTGCCCTGGGAAAGAATCACAACACCCAGAAATCCCTGCTGGCTTCAGCTGTCCCCTCCTTCAGGAATTGACAGCGGCGCCCAAACACCAGCCACTAGGATCGCCGCCGCCGCCC